TTGACTCAATATATAAATAAAATTGAAATAAGTGTAACATTATATTCTATGTCCAATAGATTTATATAATATTCATGAAAATCAGTTTACCCCCTTATAAGGTATTTTAAAATAAATTAAAATACAATACCAAGAATTTTAATGCAAAAATTACACGTTTTTTTACTACAGCAACTATTTGCACATATAAGAAAAGTTTTCAGGACATATTTTTTTTTTTTTAACTTATAATACATAACATTAGCTTTATTTTAACATATGTTTGTAGCTCGAAATATTTTCGGAACATTTTCAAAACTTACGTTAAAAGGGATTTTTTTTTTATTCATATTTAAAAAAACCCAGCACAGGGGGGTCGCGGCACAGTGGTGACGTGGCATAGTTGGATCAAGTATAATGATATCTGACAGTGATTAAAATCACTATCAAAAAAAAACGCTTCGATGCAAATCTTTAGATAGTGTTTAATTTTAAAAAATAGGTGGATTATTCCAAAAGCAACATGATCTGCTAGTTCGTTATTAATATCCGGATTCAGATCAAGTATATCGAATGAAAGAAGGATTATTAAAAAATATTATTTCTCATAAAAAAATTGTGTTGATCCATACACTTTTCAATAAGTTATAGCATTATAAAGTTAAAAAAAAAAAAAAAAACCCAGCACAGGGGGGTCGCGGCACAGTGGTGACGTGGCATAGTTGGATCAAGTATAATGATATCTGACAGTGATTAAAATCACTATCAAAAAAAAACGCTTCGATGCAAATCTTTAGATAGTGTTTAATTTTAAAAAATTGGTGGATTATTCCAAAAGCTTCATAAACTGCTAGTTCCTTATTAATATCCTGATTAAGACAAAGTATGTCGAATAAAAAAGAGATTATTAGAAAATAGTATTTCCCATAAAAAAATTATATTGATCAATACACTTTTCAATAAGTTATAGCATTATAATGTTAAAAATGTAAAAAATAAAATTGAGAATTTTCACACAATAATAGCATTTGGTAGCCATTTTCACCTTGAAGATAAAATAAAGTCCGAAATTTTTTTTTTCCATGATAAAGTATATTACATTAGCTTTAATTTAAGATATATATAAAAGTGTCAGACTTTCCGGAACACTTTCAAAATTTAAGTTGAAAAAGTCAATTTTTTGTGAAAAAGTTGTCATTTTGAATCCCCCCCTGTAGGCAGGTAAAAAGTCAGATTTATAAAAAAAATATACCAAATGATAGGTAAAGACATCATGCATCTACAAAAAAAAGAATTATATTGATCCATACATCTTTCGAGAAGTTATAGCATTATAAAGTTAAAAATATAAAAAAGAATTTTTTTACAAAAATCGTATTTTTTTTATTAAGTTTAATGTCTGTTTTCACCATGAAGATAAAATAAAGTCCGAAATTTTTTTTTACCATTATAAAGTATATTACATTAGCTTTAATTTAAGATATATATAAAAGTGTCAGACCTTCCGGAACACTTTCAAAAGTTAAGTTGAAAAAGTTCTACTTTCTATATACATTTTTATGTTTTGAATCCCCCCTGTATTAAGGGAAATGGTCCGATTTAAAAAAATAGTATGTCAAATAAAAGATCTATATAAATACTACTTCTTATAAAAAAATTGTAATGATCCATACATTTTTCAAAAAGTTATAGCATAATAAAGTTGAAAATGTAAAATACAAAATCGAAAATTTTCACACAAAAATAGCATTCGGTAGCCATTTTCACCCTGAAGATAAAATAAAGTCCGATATTTTTTTTTTCACGATAAAGTATATTACATTAACTTTAATTTAAGATATATATAAAAGTGTCAGACCTTCCGGAACACTTTCAAAAGTTAAGTTGAAAAAATTAATTTTTTGTAAAAAAGTTGTCATTTTAAATCCCCCCCTGTGGGCAGGTAAAAAGTCAAATTTATAAAAAAAATATACCAAATGATAGGTAATTACATCATGCATCTATAAAAAGAAGAATTATATTAATATGTTTATTTTTAAAAAAGTTACGGCAGTTTTTAGTAAAAAAAATTGAAAAAATTTCGAAAATTAGCCATTTTTAAATTTGTAAAACCTATAAATCTTAGTAAAACCAATACCTTCTGAGCTTCGCATCGAAGCTAAAAAACGGTAGCACAGTGTGGTTGAGGCAAAGTGTAGACTAGGCATAGATGGGACAAGTATAGATGTTATCTGATAGTGATTAAAATCACTACAATAAGATACGCTTCGATGCAAATCTGTAGATAGTGTTTCATTTAGAGAAATTAGTGTATTATTCCAAAAGCATCATCAACTCTTATTTCTTTGATTAAATCCTGATTAGTAGTTTTTTGATTTTAAAATATAATATATGAATAAATACTAATTATAATTATTATATTTAGTATGAAATTGATATTCAATAATTTAATATTATAATTTAAACAGAGAAATTATAAAAATAATAAAGAAGTTATATTTTGCTTTACTTTTACGTGTCTAAAAATTTAAAAGGTTTGTTACAATAATTATCAATAAAAACTGTTTGTTACAATAAATAAATGCACTGGACTACAATGAACTTTCATCATAAGCAAAAATATACTTTTCTAAATCAACTTTTCGCGTTGTTTTCAAAACTGCAATTAGACTTTTTCTATCAGTTCTAATTTTTTATATTATTATTAATTACATATAAAATAATAATTAAAAGAAAAAAAATTTGTTTTCAAATTATTACTGATTTGATTTTTAATATGTTAAAAATAATAAGTCCAAATTTTCATTTTTAACCTATTTTTTTGGTTCTTTAAAGTTGATGAAAAATTGTTGACATGTTTTGTAAAAATTTATAGTAAACAAAATTGAATATGTTACCATAACTTTTAGCTCAATTACAAGTTTGATATTGACATCATTAAATAGAATATTTTATGAGAATTAAAACTATGCTATTTTTAAGACTGATTATTTAAAACTCATTATTTAATGATGATTATATTTTTTTGCATTTTTATCGTAATAGAAACACTTAAATAGAAATCATAGTTATCATTTCTGAGTAATTTTTGGTATTTAAAAATATTTAAAAATATCCAGAACTGAATTCATTTTAAGGATTTACATTAACTAAAAAAAAAAAGTTATCATTTTGAATCCCTCGTATGGGCAGGTAAAGGGTTAGATTTATAAAAAAACCAAATGACAGGTAAAGACTTGTGTCTAAATAAAAAAAAATTATACTGATTTGGTCATTTTTGATAAAGTTTTTTTATACTGGACTACAAGGAACTTTCATCAGAAACAAAAATACAATATTCTAAATCAACATTTCGCGATGTTTACAAATGCGAAATTAGACTATTTATATCACTTTAAAGTTTTAATATTATTAANAATTAAATAGAAAATTTTATGACAATTAAAAAAATTGTATCGTTAAGATCAATATGCAGTCAAAAAGTTTTATAATTACTATATATTGTAAATTTATCAGAAAAGCTCAATATTTTTTTGCATTTTTATTATAATAGATAACTTAAATAGAAGTAATAGTAATAATTTCCTAGTAAAATACTTAAAATATAGTAAAATAATTTTAATATGAATAAAAAATTTCTTCTCGCGAGTGGCTATAACAATGATGGGATCCTTAATATTTATTGAAGTTATTGAATTAAATGAGATACAAATCAAAGCAGTTGAAAATTTATTCTAACTTAAAAAGAATTAAGAAAAAATGTAAAAAATTCATTGCCAAACGCGGTTTGGAACCTTATACTCCAAGCTTGTATTACACAAGTTTTACCAACTCGGCAATCGTACGTTGTTACCGTCAATTGAAAAAATTGGCTGTTTAAGCTAATTAAAAATTCAACGTTAATTTTCTTGACTTCAAAAAAGCAACAAATTTTAAATAAGTTTAACTTTCTATGTTATATTAATTCTTATTTATATAATATTTATGAAAATCTGTACTCCCTTTGTCAGGTATTTTAAAATATAATAAAATACAAAACCCAGAATTTTAACACAAAAATAGCATATTTTTGCATACGGTAGTCATTTTCACCATGAAGACAAGTCTAGAGGTCAATTTTTTTTTTTTAAATTAAAATGTATTACATTAGCTTTAATTTAAGGTATACATAAAAGTGTCAGTCTTTCCGGAACATTTGAAAAGATAAGTTGAAAAAGTTAATTTTTTGTAAAAAAATTACGATTATGAAACATATCTATGGGCTTGTAAAGGGTCAGCTGTTCACAAGAATATATAAAATGATAGGTGAATATCTAAGGTATTTATAAAAAAAAAAAATTATTTGATTCGGTCATTTTTAAAATTGTTATGGCAATTTTAGGTAAAAAAAAATTGAAAAAATGTCGAAAATTAGCAATTTTTAAATTTGTAATTTTTTTGGGAGATTTCCCCCGTTTACAGGGAACGAGGGCCTTTTTTTCAAATTTTGAAAGTAATGTCTTCGACTAGAAACGATTTGTGATCTTTTGACGTATCGTTGAAAAAAATCGGATTGATTTAAATGCTATCAGTATGAGCTGTACCTATCCGTGTTGTATAACCATTTAATGTATAAAAATGCTATTCATTCAATGAGTAATTGTTAACTACAACAAATTAATAATTGAATCAAAAGTTATAAAAATTTTCAGTCACATTGTTCAATTCTGTATAAGACAGAAGGAAAAACTTTTAAATTAACATTTTTATTATAATAAAACAATTATTATTATACTTATATAATATCTACATTAAGAATTAAAATAATTTGTATTGACTTATTTCGTCAATATAATTCATGAAAGATCGAATAATATTAAAATCAAATCCATTGAAAATGGTTTTAATAAATTTAATATACTCTTTTGTATTTTCAATACTAAATACTTCAACTGTTGTATTAGAGTTGAGAATGTGTTGCACTAAACGTCGTTGATCGATTGGATTCATCGTAAAAAGCTCTTTCCCATCCAATTCTAAAGGTGTATTGGCATTACATTCTAAATCTTTACAAAGTTCGAATGCAAACATGTCTAATTGATGAATTAATTTATTCGTAAAATTATTAAAATAGAATGTAAGATTATCTAAATCAACAGAGTTTCCTATCTTAGGAAAATCTCGAACAAAGTACTCAATGTTTGATTTAATAGTAAAAATGTATAAAACATTTTCGGGATGCAAAATTGTTACAAATTCTTCAAGTATTTCTAACCATCGTATAGTAAAATCTTGAATATACTCAACTTTTTGATGCATTAGATACATGAAATGCTTACGAGTTAACCTCAACATGATAATTTGTAAGAAATCAAAAATGGATGTATAGTACACTTTGAATGGTAATAGATGGTCTTCATTCCAAGTAAGTTCATGAAGTTTGTTATAGTAGTGTACTATTTTTGAGTCAGATTTTCCCCACATCACTCGGACGTTAAACGTATGCTGCAGATTTTTAATTGTTTCCGAATTGTTTCCTAATTTTCTCAACAATATATTGTGACTATTAAACATGTCTATATTATCCAATTTAAGTTTAGTATATATATTGTTTCTGTCTACCATAAATTCCATTTTATGACAATTTTGGTTAATTGATATGGTGTAACCTTTATATGATTTAAAATCTTTAAAATCCTTATCATATATTTTATGATAAATACTGTCTTTTCGACAATTGTTATTAATGATATCTTGTTTATACTTACTTGCAATATAATCACAGGTTTTTAATATGTTTTCAAGTATTAAGGAATTAATTGCCAACTTAGATGTCTTAGAATGTACAAAAATATTAACATCAACAATATTCGTATAAGCATTTAATAGCCACAAAGGACCAATTTCGATACCATTAATACCATATATCGAACTTAGTTGTTTACTAACTACATAAGCATACCTAGATGAAGTGAAGATAGCTTTGGGTAATTTTGAGTTATTTGAACACACTTTTATATTTGATATAGATAGTTCCAGATGATTTAAACCACTGTATAAGTATGAACATTTTAAATATCGAAGACTGTAAGCGGGTTCTACATCATACGGATAACCAGTCTCTATTGCATTAGACAATTTAAATGGTTTAACAAACAATTCAATAATTACAATGATTTTAAAAACTGTGTGAAATAACATAACTCAATTATCTACGGTAAAATAATATTTAGTTAAATAATAATTTTAACTATATACTTTTTGTACTAAAGTTCACTTAACTACATTTAAAACTTATTAAAATATTTAATGTATTAAATAAAATTTTTTGTGAATATAATGTTTATTTAATAATTCTCAAATTTTTTGTTGTTTATTCTCTTATTTAAAAATAATTTTTAAATAATCATTATTTTAAACTAAGCAAATTATTATTTTTTTTAAAGTAAATAACATAATTTTTTAAAACTACTGTTATTAAATGAATTAAATCAAATTTAATTTTTTTTTTAAGTGGTTATAAAAAAAATCGAATATAATATATTATTATAATTATATAATATAAATTACTTGGCTTGTCTATAATTATGTGTGCAAGATTCTTCAAGTTTGATAAGTTATACATTTTCTCAAAAATTACTAAGAATTTTTTATTTTTGTAGAGAGTAAAAATATTAGGTTCAAAAAAATGTACGATTATATTTAGTTAAATAATTTTTTTTCATGCACTGACACGGTTCCGCGTCGCTTCGAGATATACGGAGGCCCGTGAACAGCCGTAGCTCCACTATAAGTATGTGGTAGTTTAACTGACCAACACCGCCATGTGCCACGGTGCAAAATCCGGCAAGTGTGGTACAGCTGACAATGACCCACCGCAAATGATATGTTGAGCCTTGTTCACATCGTCGAACTAAAGATGTCCAGGATGTACGGCATCGGTTCCGGATATGTCGCACGTTGGACACAACGAACTGATACGGGACCAGCGCACCGTCGTTATCAACAGTACTATTTTTGGGACGTCCGAGGACCATTCGGCGGGACACTGCGTTGCTGACACCAGCAAAAGTTTTATTTTAAATCAAAATTCTATAGTAATTTCACTGTTGTAGAGTAGCATTCCTTTTTTTTTTAATTCTCAATAGTACTTAAAATGAGTTTACCAAATTAAGATAATTGTGTATGTATTATAATATACGAGGAATTGTATTGGTTTTTATGACGTCACTATTTACAGATAAACACTATTTATTGACAATCATGACTTTATCGATAGATACGCTATAAGTATATCAGTTTTCAAGGGAACATTTTTTGACTTTACATTTAATCCAATCAATAAAACAGAGCCAAATGTTGATGAAATTATAGTTGACAATATACTCTGCGTACCTGTTTATATTAACGGCATGAAATCAATTAGTTTACTTTTTATTATTATATTTAATTGGTTTTTAACCGTGAAAAATTATATTAAAACAGTGAACTAGAACAACGGCGAAGAGATTTACAAATTATAAAGAATTTTACGTTTCGAATATAATAATTTGTGTGTTAAACAACAGTGAACCACGTAGTTTCGTGTGTTTTGTTATCCGCTACCTCATTGTACAGAATGGTTGTTTAACTATCACGCACGCCACATTTTTAAAAGTTAAATCATACTATAATTTTTTCATTTGGGAAGTTAATATTACTATTTTAACAGAATCCTACGTTAAAAAAATATTTGGTTTATATTCGTTTTTTGAACAGTTTTTTTAAAGTAACTATTAAATATAATGAATTGAGGTGAAATGTTGGTCTGTTTTTAATAATCTCTGGGAATATCCTCCGCCCTAGTTTAAAAATGATAATATATTTTTAAATACTGGTGAAAATCTGTTATCAATCAGTCATTTCATTTTTTTAGGCCAGTTAAACATATAACGTTTTCATTTAATAAACTATAAATTTGTCTTATTACTTAAGTATTACTTATTTTTAACTTTAAACAGCAAATACAAAGAAATGTACTTGAATGAAATTCTTTTTATATATATATGCTTTAAGACCAATTGACTATAATATACCATATTTATTTGATTATAAAGTGTGAGCCTTCAAATATTGTTTACCCCAGCCTCACAAATGTCTAAATCCGGCACTGTTTACTAATATCTTTTGATTAAATCAATGGGTGATGTTAATATAAAGATATACACTTTTGTGATCTCGGTTTATTCCGCTGTCACAAATTACTTGCGTTAGTTTTGCCGTGTGTGAGTTGTCGGCGACCGGTGTCGAGTCGTCTGTTGTCCTTTTATTGACGTAATTAACCTGTAGTATTGTAGGTTGGTTCTGAAACTTATTGAAAATGGTTTAAGAAACAACTTCAGTACTTAATATTTATTAGTGGTTCATTGTAATTGACAATCTTAATAATTATCTATACAATTAATAGTATGGCGACGAGACTACGACTGATTGTTATCTAAAATATTTGACCCGAATATGCACAAGTCGAGTGGTCAGCTATGTGCTGGATCAGCACGACAAGATGGATGACAGCTACCAATTTTTTTAACTATTTGCATCAAATGCTCGGCCAAGTATTACATATTCACTTCTTCTTTTCATGTAAGGAAAATGGAATTATTAAGTTTGGATTTCCACCTCATACTAGCCACCGATTACAACACCTAGTTGTGGTTTTTTACGTCCCTTTAAAAACGACCTATAGTTTTTGTTTTTGATACTTGATATGTTTTATGTTGATAAAAAGTTATTAAAGTTATTTTTATGATAAATACATGTATTTTATTTTATATTTATAACTTTATTTTGTCTCAAGTATTGTTCGTCGTCTTCATGAACTCTCGATGTTTATATTTTATACAAAAAAAAAAACGTACAAAAAAAATCAAATCGACAGTAGTCCACCAAATCCGGGCCGTGGTAATCTTAACGTTTTTTACTTTAGTATACAATAAAACGGAGTACAAAAAAAAAAACTTATCCAAAAACGTTTTTTGGACAAACGATTAGAGCAACAAAAAACATAACATGTCTATACTCCTCGGTATATATCAGTAGATATTAAAAAAAAAATTTTTTTCTTCCAAAATCAGGAGACTAAACTGCAACTTTTTTTTTCTATTAGAATTTAATTATTAACATTTTCAATATTTCGTACTACCCTACTGTCCAGGTAATGATGTCGTCGTGAGGATGGCGGGCGGTGGTGAACATAATGCTTAATAACATAGCGAAATTAAAAAATTTTCTGTTATTTTCTGAACACGCCTCGTATATCTTTTTCATAAAATAAAGTCATATGTTGCCAATAAAAAATATTTTCTTCGCTGAACTGTAAAATATTTTGTCGTTGTTAAAAGTTAAACTTATCAATAACCTCTTGTTATAATTTTTTTTCTACGATCGCTCATTTCCGAATTAAGTACAAAACATTAGAAAACTACCCCTATTGTCCATTTTTCAACCCTGAGTAGGGACGGGTTAAAGTAGTCTGATTTACGTGAAATTTTTTTTGGTTCGTTTTTACAAGTATATAAACAAATTTGGAGGGTTAGATCAAGGAATTTCTTAAGTCGAAAAATAAGGACAATTCTAATATATATACAGAGTGATTTTTTTATCATAATCCACTCAATTACTTACAGAATAATAATAATTCAAAAATTTTTTTTTATTATTATCTTTAGTTACACATTATTCTTGAATTATTAACTATGTAATACTTTTTAAGTTCGTCCCTTATGCTTGGTAAGGGTGTCAACTTTGTTTTTTTAAATAGTAACACGTATTTTTAATTTAATAAAATATTTGAGTTTTTAATTCAATAATAAATGGCATTTGAATTTTTAATGAAACTAAATTTGTTTATTAGATATAAACATTTAAAGTTTCAAATTTTTGAGTTAATATATAGGTATAATACACAAGGGANAAACTTAATTTGTTTATTAGATATAAACATTTAAAGTTTCAAATTTTTGAGTTAATATATAGGTATAATACACAAGGGATTACAAATACAAGTAGCTAATTGGTTTTTTATGATATTGCTATCACAGTCACGGATTGTTTATTATCAATTATGACTATCAATAGATATACTTTTTGTATTGTCAGTTAGTGTATTTATAAACTCACACCCAACTATCATTGATAATAACAATGCTGTGTACCTGTTAATACCGATGTCATAAAAAATCAATTAGCTACCTGTATTTGTAATCCCTTGTGTATTATACCTATACAGGGTGTTCAGTAAGTCAGGAAACGGGTTTCTATTGTTCTCATTGTTTGTAACAATGAGAACAATAGAAACCCGTTTCCTGACTTACTGAACACCCTGTATATTAACTCAAAGATTTGAAACTTTAAATGTATATATCTAATAAACAAATTAAGTTTTATTAAAAATGTCATTTATTATTGAATTAAAAACTCAAACATTTTATTAAATTAAAAATATGTGTTACAATATGCGTACCTGTTTATAGCAACGTTATAAAATAATTAACTACAGGTTAGTATAATTCTTCACGTATTTAACGTGTATTTTAAATAAATTATTTGAAACTTTAAAATGTGTTATATAACTGAAATTATAATTTAACTGCACTTATCTACTTATCACTTATCACTTAAAAAAATTTTTTTCATACATTTTATCTTATTTATTGTGCATAATACATTGTAAATATTAGTATAAAATAAAGTTTTTGTTATAAAAAAAACATTTTATTAAATTAAAAATATGTGTTTCTAGATATTTATTAATCCAAGAAAAATATGTAATTAAAGTAGACAAAATAAGTTTATTTTTTTTTTATTATTATGAAAGTAATTGAGTGAACTATAATAAAAAGTCACCATGTATGTTTTTTTAATACTTTTAAATTTATTAAATTTAAAGGGAAAAGGAATACATATTTTGTTGAAAATTATAACGAATGTATAATAATTTAAAACCAACTACTATATATTAACATAGTTTCATTTATAATTTAAATGGAAAAGGGTAGCATAGTGGGGTCGCGGATATGACTAACAAGATATGTTAGTCAAGTGAGAGTTAAAAAACAAATAAGAGCCACAAAAAAAAATTTAAGTTTTTTGATTTATAACTTTTTTGGAGATTTCCCCCATTTACGTGGAACAAGAGAAAAAATTAATTTTTTTAGGGCAATGACTTCAATTAGTTATAAATTGTGAACTTTAATGTATCGATAAAAAAAAAGTCTATTGATAGCTGGAAAAGTAATCACAGACACAAAAGAAAAATAAACAT